AAAAGGAAAAAGGAAAAGAGATGGAGCAGGGGCTGGAGGGGCCCTTGGTGCCTTGAGAGCCACCCTGGCTGAGGTAAAGCAGCCCTTGTTTGCAGCTGTGTCCCTCATGATGTGCTCAATCGCTGTGGCTGGATGCTGATAGAACACAGAATTTACCCTAATTCTGCATTGTGGAATAAAATACTTCAGTGGGAAGGGAGCTGAAACAGCAATCTAGTCCAGCTGCAGGGCCTTGAGGTGTAGCAAGGCCAGAGTTAAATCCCAGAGCAATGACAATCAAAGGGTGACATTATTTGTGTGTGTGTGGCTTGTCCATCTCTCTGTGCCTCATCAGTCTGAACCCAGCAGTGAGAAAAGGCAAAAACTGGGGGGAAAACAAGCAAAATTCAGGAGAAGAGAGAGAAATGGCTCAAACAGCCCAGCTAGGGGAGAGCATAGCTACAGACAGGGCTTTTGGGTGTAGCATTTTTGCCTTTATCCAAGGTGAATGGTCCAGCCCCTTCCCTCTTCTGCTGTGCTGGGGACACCTGGATTGTCCTTTCTCATGGGCAGTGACATCCCTGCTCTGAGGGCAGGGACAGGATGGGTCAAAGGCCTTTGAAAATCAGGAAAATTCTGTGAATTTGAACTTTCTACCTAAGCCAAGATTAGAGAAATGAATCACCTATCAGCTGCTCTCTCCTCAGCGTGCAGTCATCCCTAATCATCCCAACTTACACAAATAAAGCCAGGTATGATGTTTTGTCTTGGTGACAAGGCAGCTTTCCATTTCAGGCTCCTGAAAAGCACACAAAAAGAGCTGAATTCAGAAACCAAGCAGCATGAAGTCACCCTCAGCAGACCTGTTTTATTTATTCCACCGGAGTGGCAACAAACACAAACTCCCCCTGTGCTGGAGGTGGGTCAGGCTTAGCACAAAAGCCCAATTTTAGGCAAAGCTCTGCGAGTTCGGTGCCTTGGCTTTGCTGTTGTAAACCATCTGCTCAGCTTCACTCCCAAACACCGGCGCTGGGAATCAATCACGGGGTTCCTTTCGGTTGATCCCTGTTTTGCTCCACTTCTCCGCTTTTAAGACTCCACGGCCGCGGGCTCAGAAGTGCGTGCCAAGAACGGCATCACATCGATAGCAGCGAAACCCTGGCAAAAACTGGAGCTGGCCCTCGAAATCCATTAGTGCCCTCGGAAATCGGGGGGCCGGGAGCGTGGCGGTGGAAAAGGTAGGGCTTTGGTTTACATCTGTTGACATGAGGATCTCAGTTGCACCCGTTCTGAGGGGAACCGCGCGCGGCGATGAGTGAGGGGGTGCTCCGAGGGGGAATGGAAAAATCAGAGCTGGACCCCGCGTGGGAGCAATGCGCCGAGGTGCTGACAGCTTAATGAATAACTTGACTGTTATGACAGTAGGACACCTTGCAGTTCCAAGAGCAAATATTTGAAATCGTATGCAATGCAGGAAATGTAGAAATGTATGGGGAGAATACGCGGCTCGCCCCTATCGCCAACAGATGGGCCGTGTTTTCACTTCAGAGCTTTTCTTCTCTGCAGTCCTGACTTACTGGGGGTGAGAGTGAATCCACGGCTTGCAACTGATGACATAAAATGGAGCAGTGTATTAAAATCCCCTTTTTATGGTGGCCATATGGCTCAGGGGTTTTGGTAACAGTTAATTAAGAGATTTGCCTCTAGGCCCCCCCCTCTAAAGCTCCCTCTCCTCCTACTGCTGCTCCAAGAGCTCTTGCCAGCCTATGTGGGAAAAATGGGGGCTAAAGGATGGATCTTTATGGATTTAGCTGCACAAAAAAGAATTAAAATAAATATTCCACTCTTCTACACACTCATCTACGTCTCCTGAAGCTTCCGTGGATTATGGAGGCAAAATCTTGTTTTCCCTAAAATAAATTTTAGGGGTGAAACTGAAATGGGGAATTTGGGAGGATCTGGAAATTCCAGTTTGTGCCATGTATCAGTTTTGGGGACCTGGAGACTCCCTGTTCCAGGTTTATTGATCCTGACCCCATAATTCCCCATCGTCCCCTATCTCAGGTGAAACCAGCAGCCCCTTCCTAAAGAAATGGACTTGATCCCATCCAGAGTAACTTTTATTCTCTCTTGAGAATGGTTGGGAATTCTAAAAACCCACAGAGTTTGTGATTTTCCTAAATGGTCAGTGGGTGATTATTAACTTTTGCAGACAGCTCAGACTTTGAACACCATTTTCTCCTTTTAAAGCAACTTCTTGATATGCAAGGAACCTGTTGGGATGTTTTCATTATGGAATCAATCCCCTCTCCAGCATCCTGTCCTAGGAAATTCTGTTTATTTTTATTTTAGCCATTTGTAGGCTGTATAAGGAACTTGATATTTGCTCTGTTTCCAGTAAACAGCTCCTCAGGAGAGCTTTGTTAATGTTATCTATTAAAAAAAAACCCAACCCCAACCAACCAAACCACTGAGTCTGGGAGCTGCAGGCAGCTGATTATTTAAAGCAGCTGAAAGAAAAGTCTGATTGACAGGAGGAAAGTGAAATGATGGAACTCCTCTGAAAGTTAGGGAATTAATGGGAAGAAACAAGAGTCGGTGACTGTAAACAAGTGCCGAAGGAATTTTGTGCTGATACAACTGAAGGGAATAATTTTGGGGAATGGATTTTCGTTATTGAGTGGAATTCTGAAAAAAATGATAATAAAGAGAAAGAGAGAAATAAATTGACAACAAAGAGAAATAAATTAAGAATAAATAGAATCAAAACAATAATAAATAGAATTAGCGCAGGAGGTTTGATTAAAGCAGATCTCTGCCTGGTTTAACTTTCATTTCCTGCCTTTGCCCACATCTCCCAGTCCATCTTTTGGAACTCGGCTCTCCAGCCCCACATCCAGGATTTCCTTGGGGAAGGACTGGCCCAGCCCAAGCATTTCGGGGGAGCCTGGCAAGGTAATTGTGTGCTGCAGCTGTCAGGACTAATCACGCCATGGAAAGCAGGCCCCAGCAGTTGTGGTAGCCCCAGGGCAAGCAAAATATCAATTGGGCCACAAATCAAGAGAGCAGCATCCTCCTGGCCCATGAATCAGGGAAATGAGACGAGCAATTCAAGTGCTAAGTCAACATGGGCTGTGTAAACAGCACTTTGGAAAGGGGATTGCAGGGATTTGCTGCACAAAAGGCAGCTGCAGAGGAGAAGGAGAGCACATGGATGTTGGACAAATTAATTGGGGGGAAATAGCCGCAGTTCTGATGCCTGTACGGGAATTCCAGCTCAGTGTTGGATTTATTTTGGTGTCAGTTTTTTACTAAAAGCTTTCATGCTTCGTTTTTGTTCATTTAGTCACAGATCTGAAGCAGAATGTAATATTCTAGGTTCCACTTGAACTCGATTTTATTCAAACTTTGGTTGTCTTTGCACACAGATTGATTTACAGGCCAAAGAGATGGAAACAAAAGGGACTTGGGGGCAGCAAACTTGGGGTGAATGACTTCATTAGCTGGAGCTGTAATTGGAAGATGAACCCCCAATATGCAAATGGACCAAACTTATAAAAATGTCAAAACCTGTGACCCTGTGGCCATTTTGGGTGGGCTTCATCTACCCAAAATGTACCTGAAGGCCCTTCAATCAACAAAACTGCTTTTCATTCCCGTAATTTTTTTCTGGCCTCTGTTTTTAGGTCACTCCAATGCCTCTAATCCTGTTTGACACCCTGAGGGGAATAAAAGTTGCAGTGTTACTGAATATGACACTCCCAACACATCACAGACCCCTGTTGTGAGGGCTGCCCAGCCCTGGACACCGGTTTGGGCTCATCAGGTGGGGATTTAAATCATCCAAACATCCCCATCTTCCCAACCAAAGATGGAAATGAGGGATTTCTCCTGTCCCAGAATGATGGGAGAAATAAATGGGTTTTAGGATTGGACCTACTTGAGATGGAGAACAGGCTCAAAAGTGAGCTTTGGCCTGGAATTAAAATAACTAGATGTTTATGGGAGAAAAGGGAAATATTGTGGCAACGAGATAATAAAGATACTGACTGAGATCACTTTGGGAAGGATTCAAACTTTAATAGCACAGGGAAGCTTCAGAGATGACATTTCATTGTCAGGGTGCCTAAAAATGGGTAACCTGGGCCAAGGCCTCACCACCCTCACAGGAAAAAACAGAAAAAGATTTTAATATTTGATGAAAATAAAAAGTAATTATTTGTCAGATTATACTTTTTTTCTGACTCAGTGATTGGGCAACTGAGAGGTGTTTTGAAAACTTTGAAGAAAGGGAAATCCCACAATTCTTTTCTTTTAAGTGCAATTTAAAAAAAAATCAAGTTCTTTCTTTTTTTATTTCTTCATTACTCTGTTTTTTTGCAGGAAGACACTCAAATTTACCAGAATTCCCAAATGTTTGAAATGCACGTCCAAAACCGAGGATTTCCTGTGGAAAAGAACATTCTGGTGCCATTTCTTTTGAGACTGTTTTACAAACATTTCTGCTGTGAGACACAGGACACCTCAAAAATGAGAAAAGAAGGAAGACAATTCATGCTTGGACTGATCCACACAAATCCCTGTGGAGACCCTGGAAACCCAAACCTGGCGTGAGTTGTCAGCCTCAGAGCAGGATGGAAGAAGATGTCAAGCAAACCTCAGCTGTACCAGAGGGGAGGGATCAGGAAGTTGTTGGAAAATCAATTAAATTAAAAAACTCCAAAAAATCAGCTCTGTGTTGGTCAATGAACAGCAAGTGAATGGAACTGGGACATGTGGGAGTGAGGGGGAAAATGCAGTGAAAAAAAAAATAAATGGGAGATGTGAAGATAAGAAATGAAATCCATTCCAGGATCTTCCCGAGGTCACTCCAAGCTCTGGGGAAGGCTCCAGCTATCCGTGCCCCCTTCCCTCTCTCCTCCAACAGATCAATTATCACTGCCAGTGTCTCTTGAGATGCCCACACACACTCCCTGTGGGGCAGAGAGGGGCACAGCCCGTTTTTGTCTGGGCAGGATCAGTTTGGGCCTTGTCTTATCTGTCACCCGCGCCATGTCCTCGCAAGGGCCTCCCAGCTGAGCACTGATAACGGGATCCATGAATCGCCATTTTCACCCCTTTTCACTGATATTTGGCCATTAAAATAATTGAATAATTATTCAATTAATTGAATAATTAGCTCTGCAAAGAGGACATGGGAACTGTCTCATTGGGGTAGATTGTGCAAGGCCTTGAGGTAACAGAGAAATCTGTTGAAGTACAAAATAATTGATCTTAAGCATCCCCAAAGACACACATGGTATCTCTCTCAAGATGCCCACACACACTCCCTGTGGGGCAGAGGGGGGCACAGCCCGTTTTTGTCTGGGCAGGATCAGTTTGGGCCTTGTCTTATCTGCCAGGTCCCAGCTGAGCACTGATAACGGGATCCAAGGATCGCCATTTTCACCCCTTTCCACTGATATCTGGTCATTAAAATAATGGAAAATTATTCAATTAATGGAATAATTAGCTCTGCAAAGAGGACATGGGAACTGTCTCATTGTT